GCCATGTTGGGGGAACAAAACCGGTGGCTGTGAGTTGCGTGATGTAATTCGTATTGTTCAATCGTTGGTTTGAAAAAACTGCTGAAGGACGAGTGAAGAGAAAAAACAACATGGACAAATCCTAGAACGAAGACTTTGGACTACGCTTGCGTGCAGAACAGGGGTGGTGCAAGAGCTGCCAGTTTGTGACGTTGGCTTCCACGGTGTAGATGCAATTTTACGGGACCCATGTGGATCCAAACAGTCCGTTCCAGTTGGCGTAAATGGTTTAGACACATATATATATAATATAAGTATATATATTAATATATGTACCTTGTGCCTCCAAACACGACAAAAACGTAGGGTTCATCCCAAAACACGAGGTTCTTGGAGGAAACACGAGGTTTCCCATTTTTGTGTTTTTTTCCGCCCATGCCATCTTCGAAGGCCGGGCCACAGGAACTTGAATTCAAACTCCAAAAGCCCAGGTTGATGATCAGAACGAAAAAAATCTCAACCAAAATGCAACTATTGTACCCCCCTAGAAACCGTGAAAAAAGCACGGGTTGTCACGGTATAATCACGGGTTTGTCACGGGTTTGGGAAACACGATCCGAGGTTTTTCATCCAAAATCATGGGTTGACACGGGATAATCACGGGTGCGGGTTATCGGAGCTCTCAATTACGGACCCGAACTTTTCATGACAAGAGTGTTGAATGTTTTTAACATATTGTTATGGTTTGACCACGGAAAATTCGATAAGTCGGCGGGAGAAAATGAATATGGAGCACCTGCACACATGGCTATCGAGGGTTTTGGGGCAAAACACGAGGATTTGGCTAAACACCCGAGGTTTTCCCTTATGTCACGGGTAAACCCGAGGTTTGTTTTCAAACCCGACAAATTTGTAGGGTTCAGATGCTCAGGGTATATAAACTCACGGCCCAGCTCTTTTCACAACGCTCCACAGTGGATCAAGAAAATAAATGAAGCGGAGAAGATTCAAAGGTCTTTCACCAGACCGTCACTCTATAGACCGCTCGTCACAGGAGCACAGTCTTTCCCACCCTCGCCAGAGGGAAAGAAAACCCCCCTCATCCCCCTTGAAAACCCCTCGCTTAGCCGAGGGTTCCAAGCCGAGATCTTTTTTAGCTAAAAATGCGGCAAGAAAAGCCTCCCTTCCACGTCCCCCTTTTTTCTGCGTCTAGAACGGGTGCTCAAGTGCGGGGGCGAGACCTGATTGTGAAACACTCGAACGCAAGGCAACAGGGTCTTATTCGGAAGCTTCATGTCTGCCAAAACTGCCATGCCCTCATTTAAGTAAGTTTGAGCAGTCTTGGCTGCTTGCCACCTTCCGGCCACAAGAAGTTTGTCAAACGAGCCATGCTTCGAGAACCAGAGTGTGGCTCCGCCACGTCGCAAGGAATATGGGCGAAACTGAAAAAGGCCTAATTGTAGAGCATCTATACATTGGGCAAACAAATCTCTCCAAACGGAGACGGAACTCACAAACATTGCTTGGGGCTTAACACTTTGTTTCCACATCCAGAGCCATTGCAAGGCAACTCCAACAGTGAGGGTGCCCGAGTCGGGTGCCCCCACCGGCTTGCCCCCATTGGTAAGTTCCAGGCTGATTGCCGGCGATTTGGGTGACTTCATAAAAATATGTGAACTGCGCAGGCTAGTTAGCTCTCCGGTTCGGAGCTTGGAACAAAAGCCGACCAAAAGAGACACTCCAAAACCAAAGTGAGCGTGGAAGAAGCTCCACCCAACCATTGCTTCTATGGCCGTTTCGGTCAAAGGAGGGGCTCTATAGGGAACTTCGTTCACATGCCAGGTTTTGAGTAGTCACCACGTGAGTTGCAACTGGCCTTTGAGTTTGGGGTCAGCATCTTGGATGCCTGCCACTGTGTCGGACGCTAAACCTCTGCCTTCACCTTCAAGCCAAAGGTACTCGATATACTCTGCCAGGAGCGAATCGAATTGTTCCGTTTTCAAGTCCAGCGAGCCACCCCATCCAGTTGCCCTCACTCTCAAAGGAAATGGAGGCATCCGGCAGTCTTCACCAGGCTTTATGTTGGAGCGTTGTGTTCTTTTTTGCTCATCTAACCTCAACAGATCAGCCGCCTGCTCAAAAATCTTGACCCATCAGCTATCCCACTGGAGAAATCTGCGTGCATTGGCGCAGCTGTCCCTCTATCGAATTCACTGCCTACCTGCACTGACCCCATAGTCAACTGCGAGCCTCGGCATAGTGTTCCCCACCGGACGTCAACTGCGAGGAGGGTCATGTGGCAGCGTTCCACGCCGGACCTCAACTGCGAGGGTCCCATGGCAGTGTTCCCGCCGGGCCTCAACCGCGCGCGAGCTTCGGCTGGCAGTGCCCCCCGCCGGACCTCAGCCGCGAGCTTCCCGGACCTCAACCGCGAGTCAGAAGATATGCCAGATAGAAAGCCAGAAAATATGTCAAGAATATTGCAGAAATAGCACAAGAAAGAATGTCAGAAGATATGCCAGGAAGAATTGCAGACGATATGCCAGAAATAATGTCAGAAAGACCCAGAACACATATCAGAACAGATGTCGGAACATGTTGGTACACTTTTCAGACGAATGTCAGAACAGGTGTCAGTATATATGCCCAACTCACGCCAGAACACATATCATGACATTCGGAACGCTTGTCAAGCGTAATGCCGAACAAATTGGACAATGACAGTATGTGGCAGAACGCTGCATGTCAATCCCCAAAGCACATGACGGTCATGTGTCAAAGCACATGTCGCAACAAATGGCAGGCTTGATGGCACAGAAGAAGTGTCAGAAAACATGTCACCACATGCCAGAGCACATGTCAGAAACACATGCCACAAGATTTGTCAGAGTACGGGTCAGACCTGACGACAAGACAAAATGCACCACATTTCAGACATGTCCCAGCTTTGTCAGGAACCATACCAGACTTGAGGCCAGAGCAAATGCCAGAACATTGTACCCGCGCACGTTGCACGTGTCTGGCAGCATTCACCCCAGCCCATTTCTAAGCGCCTATTGGCGACACATGGTGCACAAGTCTGGAGTCATTATGAACTATCACGCGAGTGCTTTATTGTGCCCTACCACCACACCCCATTTGGGCAGGCGGCAAGCAAATCTATTTGCGCCGCCTTCCCTAAGCTAACTTGTCAGGTTCAAGTTAATTAAGCCAGCTGCTAACAAGAACTTCAAAGCATGGTATAAGTCTAGGCATGGGGTGATTGTCTTGTGCAAGTAGCCCTTGCAACGCCCCCCCCAACCAAATCAGGTGTGTGTTTTCCAGTGTTCTCGAAAACGCTTGTCTTAGGACTTTGCATGTTGAAGGTGTTCAGACGTGGAGGACAAGACCTCGTAGTTGTTGCCAGGTGCTCTTGGCTGCTCGTGAGTAGTAGTCTTCCTAGTTCGCCGGATCTTGGGGGGGGGTCGGCCAAAAGAAATGGTTTTGTATTTTTGTGGTATCATTGAACTTTTTGTTTTTTCCGACCCCTCACCCCCCGAGGTACTACCTGTGGGGCATCAAGCTCCCACAGGGCACAGGGTGAATGGCATCAAGCTACGACAGGTCAACGGTGAATGGTTGTAACAAAAGAAGGCCCCAAACTTCTGTGGGAAGCATCCAGGACAGAGTACAATACCATACCCAATGCTAGACTAGACCTATTGCAACTTGAATCAGTCCAAACACATCAAAAAAAATCAACAAAACACTGGAAAACACACACCCGCATAGCGTCCCTCAAAAAAAAAGTGCCCTGGCTTCACCTGAAAGAAGGTGGGAGTCAGTCCCTCGAAGTAAAGTACAGTGGTTTCAGAGTAGATGGCACAAACCTCAAGATGTTCTTTACATGGGGGGTCATATATATATATATACATAAACAATCTCTTGGGGTCTGCACCATCCATTCTCAATCCACTATCATTGATTGATCAACTTCAGCAAAATTAGGTATTATCATCTATTCCGCTCGAAGCCACGTTCGGCCCCGGTTCCCGATTTGCTCTACAATCTTTTTCCCGGTTCTCCCGGGGGGTGGAGGTCCTCCAGTTTGTCCATTTTTGGGTCGACGAAAACAGCTACCAATCTACCAAGGTCTGAGGGTGACAGGTACTGAAAGCCACGTGGTGCTTAACAGCTACTGCATCAGGTCCTCCACGAATGACCAGTGACCATCAGATCTTGTCTTCGCTTTTTCTGATGCAAACAATGCAAACCCGAGTTTAGGTCGTTTCAGACCCATAGTTACCAAGTAAGCAGCAGGACGTTACCGCTTCCAGGACTTGTCAGTTCCAACAAACATGGACTTGTCAGAAAAATGGTCTTTCCAGGGAGGGTCAAGGGTCGAAGTCCCTCCACCAGCGGTCACAAGAGGCCCAGGCAGCATGTGTTTCGGACCCCGCCACCCCCGTGTGCTTGGGCTCCCCAGCTGGCAGCATCCAAGCCTCTCCATCCTCCGATTCCACTCAGCAGCAAGAAGGAAAACACCATCGTAGGGTGTCGTGGGCAAATGGAACTGAGGGAAGGCGTTTGGCTGAGATATGAACTATTGGAACAGCTTGATTTACAGCTTGCAGGGACCTCCCCAGCAACCCTAGAATCCAACCACCTATGCACAGTGGGAAGTTCTCGGAGGTTATCTCTTCCCTACTACATGGGTCTCACCCCAAGAAATCTCCGACCCTCACGCCCATGGACCCTTTGCAGGTTCTATATATAGGTTGGGGTCATCACACCCAGCATCACAGTCACTACTTGTTTCAGTCACGTTCTTTTCACGGACTCAACCGCTTCAAAAAATTCAAGGAGACTCTCGTGACTCCTGGTGCTTGCGTTGGTCTTGCCAAGATGTCTGTCTCACCTGCCAAAGTATCAAAAACCTTGCCTCTCCATGCGAAGCAGGGCTTGATCTAGAAGGATCCTGCCTCTCTTTCTGAAGCAGTCTGTCTGTGTATATAGGAAAAAGCAAGCCACCTGGACCCCGATCAGCCGCTGCGACCCGGGTCGCCGCGAGAGCTGCCAGGGCCCCAGGCGATTTGGATGGTCTCGGCACCTGGGTCCGCGCGGTTGAGAAACTCACCCACTTTGAGGATCTTGATGGTTGATTGGTTGACAGGTTCTGCCACTTTCTTCAAACAAAGGACTTGCCAAACGTCGTCAGACTTGGATGGTCCGCCTTGGTGGCTGGTCCGGGCTGTTGTCCTCCTCCCCGCTGCGGCTCCATTGTCCCCTCCCACCGGTGCGAGAGGGAAAGGGGTCAGGATGGCCAGTCAGGATGAGAGGGACACCTCTGTCGTTGCCATGAAGAGCTGTTGCTCTTCAATCCAGAGGACCCGGAGTAGAACTCTCAGTGGTGTGGGGGGGGCCAGGTTCATCTGCAGGGAATGGATTTTGAAGCATCATCCTGCAGTCATCCTGCAGTCACCGGTCCACATGGTGGTTTTTCCACGTGAAAGAGAGAGTCACCACCATGGCCTCCAGGAACGTATCAGCTGCAAGCTGCACGACCCCAGTGCTATGCACATCAAACACATGTCTCACAAATGGGCTCATGACCTGGAGATCCTTCCAGTGGCAGCTTCTCAATACACCCTGGTTCCAAGGTCCACATAGAACCTGAGAACCACATCGGGTTGTAGAGGAAAGTCGTCTTCCAACGGTTCATTTTCAGGTTCCATGTTAATCTTCCCGGGTGTATCTGCAATCTGACTTGGGTATATCGGATATCGTTATATTCGCCAAAGAGTGGATCCTATAATGTGGATCATGGCAAGCTGCTCCTTCTGGATGGCGCCAACAGTGGGCGATCCCGACGTCTTCAGGCAGTCAACACTAAGGTTGTTGAGCCTTCTCATTGCCATCGTAGAGCCACACTTTTACAAAGACCATTCTATTCACTATATCTGAGTGCTTTCATTAGTCGCAAGCAATCCAGCTGGAATCCAGGCAAGGGAGCTTCTTGGACAGTCCAGGTCGGCCATCAAACTCCCCCCAACCGAAACACTCCATGGGACTGGAATTGGTGCCTATACATGTGCCTACAATCCTGCAGTACATTGACCCTTCCCTAGGGCTCCAACCACCTCCTGACAAGGTGGTTGGGGTAGGTTTGGGGGGTCTAACCACCTTCTGAGGATATGGTTGGAACTGTAGGGCTTGTTCAATCAACCACCCCTATCTAGGACCTAACTGATCCTAAAACATACCGACCAATTGCTGTGTTTCGACTCCCTGGCCCCCGCGCGTTCCAGCGAAAAGCGCACCGCGGCGGCCCGCTGAAGCACCTCGAAATCAAGGGTGCTGTGCATGCTGAAGCTCACAGGAGAAATTCTTCTGGTCTCACATGTATGATATGTAGATTATATCGGATATTAATGGATGTATTGCTGTCCTACCTTCCGATTTCTGACCTTCAACAAATGTCACATGGTCCGGTATCAACACATCTGGGACAAAGCAAATTTGGTTTCTGACACCCAGGTTCGAAGCTTTTTGTTGAACTGGGAAAGAAGTAGTTCCAGTTGGAGGCCTGGAAAGCCACAGTTTGCATTCGGATCGGGGGCCCAGTCCCACGCCCCCACCAGCCCCTGGGTTCCCCGGTCCACCACCCCACGCAGCATCCATCACCTTCCCTCCACTGCGGTGAAACCGGCCTTGGCTCGTCCGCCGGCCATGACCCAGCCAAACGCGCAGGAGTTGGGGAAGGTCACCTCCGGCGTGTTCAGGGCGGGTGAAGGTCAGTGAAGGCGAAGGCACATGGGGAATCACGTGAGGATGGCAGAAAAGGTGCGGCGACGTGTGGCAGAAGCTGATAGATGTCCAACACCAATCAACAGGATCAGTCGAACACAGTACACTTGGATTTTACGCCAAGGGATGTAGGTCGAAAAGGAAGACTCGCCCCTGTGAATTCCCCATATTATAAGATATTATAAGGGGAAATCGAAACTAATCCAAAAGCCCGTCCAACCCCACCCTGTCAGGATGGTTCTTGGACGGTAAGCCGGTCAGAAGGGGTCTCTTAACCACCACACCTCGATGGTGCGTGGGGCTTGGCCGTTCGTGTCACACCCCCCGCGACTCGGCCCAAACCGCGACGCGACGCGACGCCTCTACTGATGGATCTGGAGGACACTGATCGGTGCTTGGGGAGTTAGGTCGGAAGGTCGATCTTGACCAGGTCACCGCACGCCCCAGCTCCTCAGGTTCGGTGGGTATTCAGCCATATTAGACCCTCCGCCTGGTACCTTCGCCCCCAAGCATCTCTTCAGGAGCTACGACTGGAGCCCTAGGGTATCATCCAGGAATTTTCTCACGGATCCACCCCAGCAGCTTGCCTTCTTCACCCCCCCGAGCCCGACCGGTCAGCTGCTTGGTTGGGGTACCGCGGTACGCGACGCGTAACACGCGCCGCCCCAGCTCCACCACCACCCCACCAGCTCGAGGAGGTGGTCGTTGGGCGAACTTTTCCCCAGCTCTTCGGTGGACAGCAGCACGCCTCGGAGACGGGAAAGAACAGCTGGGCTGTTTGGGGGCGTGCAGTCGGCTGCACCCATGTGGGTTTGAAGAACTGGTTGGTGATGATTGCTTTTAAGGGAACGTCGGCCTATATGAACTTTGACCAGCCTTCAACTTGGGGCATCCACTTTAGTGGGGGATGATGATCTTCCAAGAGACAGATATGGTCTGCTTCAACCAAAGTCTTGTATGAGAGAACGAGATCCTGTATGAGAGAACGAGATCCTGCTGGGTTTGCCGTAGTTGATGTTGCGCAAGGGCATGCTCTCTTCCAGCGACCGGTACCGCAAAGGCAGAAAGCAACATGAACATACATGAACCATGTGAGCTACAGACCTCCATGTTCTTGTGGGCACTGAAGCCCCCACTGTGTCGCCTTCTGTCGCTCTCTCTCTCTTTGCCAGTTCACCACGCCACGCCTCGTCACGCCTCCTCTTCCAGTATGCCGAAGCCTCGGTCCCCGGACGCCCGGAGGCATAGGAGTTGATGTTCGCCAACGTCAGTTGCCGGATCCGGCCCACCTCCGGCTCCGCAGGGGAGAGCGCAGGGTGCGAAAGGATAGCTGGGCGTGGATCAAGGGGTCTCCTTTGGTCAGATCCTGGACCCAACTCATCAGATCCACAGCGCAAATCTGATGAGTGGTTTGGAACCACCACTGACTTGATGCGTGTGGTTAGCCGTCATGCATCACGTGGGGTGCGTCAAGTATGGTGATCCATTTGGTTGGGTCATGACTTTTCCCTCTGCAGTCCCACGTAAAATCGTTTTGATTGGTAGCTCGGTGGCACCCTGTGCACTCAACAAGCAATTCTCGCAGCAAGGCATCGCGTTGCAGGATCCTCAGGATCCTCAAAAAAGGATTCCGCACACTAATTCAACATGCCAAACAACCGGTGCGTTGTTTTTGTTGGGACGAACAGTGACTGGTGGTGGCCATTCATTCATCGAAAAACGCTGGCCAGGTCGTGGTCCGAACTCCGGACCACCGCAGACCTGGCGGAGCAACAACTCCAGACCATGTTCTTGTGTACAAACAGGGGGTTGTCCACTTCCATGATGTTAATTCGAATCTAAGCCAAAGGGTCTTACATCCATTTACCAAGCCACCAGGTTTTTCATGGGTTTTCCTTGAGCGAAGTCCTCCCCGACTGCAGGCCGATGAAGGCACCTCGAGGGTTTCCATGCCGGTCGTGGCGGCCGGCGCAGCTAAGCTCCGGTATTGGATCCTCAGTTGATTGAGGTTTTGGGACTTTGGTTCAGAATGGCGGATTTGGTGGCGGATTGACCTTGACACCTTGACACCTAAGTTGATGGAATGGTGTGAAACGTCCTTCTACCTAAAATGTCACGAAGCGGGTCCTCACCTTTCAACCCCGGCGGGATACCCACAAAAAAACAAAACAAAACATGGTTGGAACCTGGCATGAGTTGCTGCATCTTTTCAGAGAAAAATGCGGCGGCTGCAACCGCATCCAGCTTCTATTTTCGAGCATCTCCCTCATCGTGTTTGAGAAGGAGGTCCCACAATCCAGGTTCCAATTCACAGCTGGCATACTGAAGCGTGATGTTGCCTCTGCCAGTCTTGGTGCAATGTCAGAGTACTCTGCATGTACTAATTTGGCATATCTTCGGAATAGCAAATGAACACTTTGTCCTGAAACTCCTCGAAAACCTTGAGTTACACCATGCAGAACTTGTCTACCCCTGTATTATGAAAGAAGTCCTGCCATGTTGCCAGCAAACTCAGTAAATTTCATTGACATTGTTTTAACCTTTGCCGTGGTGGTCGCTAGGATGCCACTGTTCCATTACGTATAATTGGGAGGCCGCTTGTAGTCCCCTTTGTGCCGCATTCCATACTGCTTTGGGAGGGGCTGGAGCCCTGAAACTTGAGTGGGGCTGTAGAGCAGTTGCAAACAATCACCATACATCATCGTTAGTTTGGAAGGATGATCCGCGCATGGCCTTGTACTTATCTACTTGTCATCCTCCGCCCCAGGCGTGTCAACCATAGAACCATCGGCTTGCATACGCACTACGCACTAGACGTCTTCGGATTGCAGAAAGACACCACCTGAAGAGAGTCAACCGCCCCCCAACACACCTGATATATGCCTAGAACACTGCCTAGAACCCAATTGACCTCTGTTTTGGTAGGAAAAAACATATCCAAAAATAGGTCACTCAGGTTCCTCGTTCGTCGCCCGTCGTCGAATCGCGCCCCTCGTGGCTGGCGAGCGGCGCGTGACCTTCGAGGCTAAGCCTCCGCGGCGATGAGAAATGAGAAATGGGGTGTGCAAGGTGGACTTTCGAACGCGAGCTGCTGCAAAGGTTCTCTTCCAATTACTTTACTTCGAGTGACCCCCACCATGACATCGGTGCAAACCAGTACGTTTGTTGTCCACTAGGCAAATAAACAAATAGATGGGTAAAGTGGTAAAGCAAAAAAACAACGTTCCGAGATCTGCATATTATTTTGTATCTGGCATATTATTCTATCAAGGTTTCTGTCTGGCATTCTATCTGATATATTCTCTCTGCCATTCTATCTGCCACTCTATCTGGTACAGTCTATCTGACATTCGTTCTGGCATTCTTTCTGACATTTCTATCTTGGCATATTCTATTTGACATTCTATCTGGCATTCCATCTTGGCATATTCTATATCTGACATTCTTATCTAGTGGTTGAGGTCCGGTGGTGCCCACTGCGATCAAGAGTTGGCGAGGAGATGATCCAAATGGCGAGGAGAAGGAGAAGGAGGAGTAGAGCCCAAATAAAATCTAACAACCCTCACCTGGCAGGTGGGGAAAAACCACCGGATAGAATGACCCAAGAAAATGGTTCAGGTTCTTGAGAAAGGCATAGCTCAATCTGGGCTCAGGAGTCCATGCACCAGCTCCTAAGAGTTACATCACTAGAGTCCCTCACTTCTCGTTGGGCAAATGGCAGGGGCTTGCTCAAGGCTGATTAGAAGTATGACAGAGGTGTTGCAAGCGCCACTGACCTTCTGGGCGTGTTTTGGGAAATCTCGAACCTGAAGCGTCATAGAATCCACAAACACCACCGGATGCTTAAAGGACCCGTTGCTTAATTGATCTTTCAAAGTAATCTGTCATAAATAATTTTTCAGTGGCATCCATGTAAACAAGCAAATGCCACAAAGTATCCACATCAAAACGACCAGTTGGTTGGACAGCTTGTCTAATTTGCTGACCCTTTGATGGCCGCAATACACTACAGGTCTCATCATCGAGCCGAAATACTCATTTGTCACACCCACGTCTCACTGTTTCAGCACACATCGCGCAAGTACCCAACATCCATGGAGAACAACTGACCACCTAATGTAAACTGTCAATCAATAAACTCCAAGAAGTGCGTCGGCGCAGGAGGCCGGTAAATGTGCTGTCCCGGTTGACCCAGTTGACCCGGTTGAACCCAGTTGACCCGATTGACTTTTTGTGATGGAAGTGTGGGGTAGTGGCAGTGGTAGTGGTGGTGGTGGTGGTAGTAGTCGTCGTCGTCGTGGTGGTGGCGGCGGCGGCGGTGGTGGCTCGTCGAGGTCAACTGGGTCAACTGGGTCCTGAGATCTTGCGTGGCCCCCTGTGCTGTCAATGAAACTCCCCCAAGGCCTATGGTGCAACACCTCCAGAAACTGTAAATAGGCTGAATCCATCATGCAACTTTAAACGTCACCTTCAGAAGCTCTTCTCTCAAATTCCCAAGACTTGATGGCCAATCCCATCCAAACCCTCTAGAAACCATGATTGGTGACTGCCTCTGGATTTCAGCCAAAGGAGTCCGGGGTACGGTCTCCTTGGGGATGTCCCCTACTTCTATCCCTTTCTTCGCACTCCATCCGCTCCCGGCACGGTGTGCTCGCCCGTGGGAACAGCAGTTGAAGACTCCGGTGCGATAGGCCTGGCAGGACGCGACGCGACAAAGGCGAGACGTGGCAGGGACACTGGCAAACTGGGAGGTCCGCATGGACGCAGGCCCAGGCCCGGCATTTAAGTATACCAAAGTATACCGGCATAGCTTCATATACCTTCACTGTGGGCAGTCCTTCAAGCCTTCTCTATAGTGAACTGTCACCAAATTCCCAGCGTCACGTCCAACAGGCTGTACCACCCAGCCATCACCATCAGCTACACCCGCTTCAGTGGCCCGATGGCCGCCGCTTCCTTTTGTGCATCTCCTTCAAAACGTGCATCCCAACCTTACCTCCACCAGGTTGGGCAGTTACAAGTAGTTCTGATAAAACCACCAGACTCAAGCAGTCTGGCAGTCTCACGGTGGCCATTACACCAGATTGACCAGAGGGTCTTCCCTTCACGGTGGCTCAACACTTTGCTTTCGTTGATGGCATTCGCTTGGCGGCCAACTATGCCGTGCAAATTTCAGCCGCCAGCTTTGTGAGAGCGGACAACGTTGCCCGCCCTCGCAACGGCGCATGGGCACCGGAGCGATCATCGCCCGCAGCGCTGGGCTAAGCAGCTTCCCTGCTTCGTTCTGGAGAGGCCAACGTTCCAAGCAATTTTGTGGGCAAGTAGGGCGAGTAGGGACACCATGATTATGTGCCACTCAGCCAAGAGCAACATTGCTCAGACTGTTGTTGCTAAGTTACAAGGTTGAAAACATCAAGTTCTCAGGTTTGCCCATAGTTCACCACGGCGGTCTTTGTCGCATCCGATGGTTCTTGGAAGGTTTGACCTTGGAGTGGCCAGTGGGGAATCATCCATGGTCATCTTCATGCTTCGCACAGTGTCACAGGGGTGATCGGTCAAAGCTCTGAGTGTCTTGGTTGAGTCAGATCGTCCACTATGAGAGGATGGATTCTGATGTGCCCACATACCAACAATAAAGGCTGGCCAGGCTGGCCATGGCTAGCATAGCCAACTTGAAATCCATTCGTTCGCCGAATGGAGGAACAAAAGAGTCGGAAGTGCTGAAGAGATTCACCTCGCGGTCTCTTCATGGCAGTTGTTGCAGCCTTTTCTCTGCTCTAAGCCTAGCCTTCCTGGCCCACCATTGACTTAGTTTAACATGGTTCAAGGTCGCGTTCCGGCTCTTCCCTGTCCAAGTCCACCAGGGACTCACACAGTACCAAGTGAGACAGCGAAAGCCAGTCAAAAACACAGTGCCAGCGTCCACCAAGAAAGAACCATGAATTAACAATCCCGCTCCGTGGTCACGTTAAAGGTCAGCCACCTCCTTGAAATCTGCAGATTCTGTGTGGAAAGGAGGCCCTTTTTGATCATTTGGGGATGTACCTGCCTCATGGGCTGATTTTCACTCATAACCTTTGTCCCCTGGTCTCACCAACTATGGGACACAAAGCGCAAAGCAACAAAGCGAGTCTATATGAATATGCATCCACTCTCATGACTCATGACTCTATAAAATATCTTAAGATATATATGTTTATATATTACACACTGTGCGTGCCAGTGGATCCTCGATATATCATCGCTCTGTGTCAAACCGGGTGAGTCCTGCCGCGCAAACCAACGCGCGCGCAGGAAACGCGGGGTTTCACCGGCGCCTGCGCGCCGTAGCAGCACTTGCCACAGCCGAAGAAAAAGCAACACCGGCCTTACAGGGGCCCCACACAGGGCACGAGTTTTTGGGCCAGGGCTGGCCCCACGTGGTTTTACTGCCCCAAGACCAACTAGTGATGATAGCGTGGTTTATAGACCCCCCTGAAGATGCATCAAATCCATCCAATAACCACCTGAACTGGGTGGTGCTGGTGGTTACTTGTTTGGATGAGGCTGTCTGCTTGCACCTGGACTGTCGGAATTGTCATCCTGAAACGCATCTCGACGGGTTTAGGGCCTGGTTACGAAGGCCATGGCGAGGTGCCACGGCGAAATTCTTCCATCCACCGTGTCTGACATAGCCCGTCGTGTGACTTCGTATGGTGTCGTGGGGGAAAAAAAGGGACGTGAGAACCAAAAAGCGTCGATTCATGACCGACGGCTTTGCAAGTGGTGCAAGAAGCCTGAGAATTCCTTCTCCCTGGTTCTGCTTGTCAACTGATGCACCGGCTCATTTGCTCAGTGATTGGCCTGCTGATTTCGGGTCACTCGGAACACCCGAAAGCCTAAAGAGGTCACTAAGCTGGTCCTTCCCTGAACAAACACAAGGATTGTGGCATGCTCCAACATATGCGCTTCACTTCCCATTTGGCCTGAGTACCGGCAGTCTCTTGGGACATTACAGTAACGATCAATAACAGAAGAGGTCACCCAGGTCACGGAATAAGGTATCAAGTAAAGGTTGAACATGAGACATATGAAACCATCACGCAGGATACGACCTGGGAATGCCATAAGAAAGAAATCCATGCCGGTGATCCTACTACGCGTGACCCGATAGTCTCACTACCGCTTCTGGTGTAGAAAGAACCTGGAAAAGCGGTTCCTTTTTCCAAGAAAAAACGGGCTAGGAAATGCGAGGAATGGGTTTAGAGTTTAGTGCAGTGTTACCCCCGAAGCATGACACGAACCTCCACGCTTATGCATAGGGGGTGCGACTGTGCGTGCGGTAGCGCCTATGCAGGAGGCTCGGGCTTGACTCACCTGCACTGGCGGCCGATCCCAAGCACCAAACCATCCGGACTGGAATAGTTCTCGGTCATAAAGGAGTTACCTACATTCCATGGATGGGTCATCAACGGATGAGAACATATAAATGCATACATAGGTATTTAGTCACTTAATTAGTCACGTCATAAATCTATAATGTCTATAATATATAGAATGTAACATCATGTAACTACATATATGTAACTATTCCAGTCACGTGGATGGGGAAAACGTCCAAATCAGGAGCTTGAACGGGCATGATCGACAGGTACACCTGGTGTCGGTCAAGCTCGCTCGCAACGTGGATGGATGGATGGACTCCAGGTTCAGGTCGGTTGAACGACCCATCTGAGAGTTGGTCATGATCTCAGTCTGGGATGTTCATCTTCACCCCGAATCCCACACCCGCTCTCACTCACGACTCCACCCTAAAGTCTCACCAAAACCTGCTTGGCCTAAGCCCTAAGCGTTTCTTCTTTTTCAGCCACAGTCATCTGAGTCAAAGTGCCACCGCTCCGAAGCTGTGGGTCGCTACCTTTTGGAGACGACGGTCTTTCGCCCCCAGGTTTAAAACATCGCGTAGACGCGGGCAGCATTCATGAGTCAGCAAGAAGAAGTGGGCGTCTTGGGCAACTGTGCATGTGAATGCCCAAAAACACATGGGAGAACATCTCGTAAGCCTGCACGCACATGCGAACACCAATGTTTCAGTCACCAAAAATGGAACCCTACAGCTCCCTGGCGATACATTGGCTTTCTGCTTGGGGTCACCAAGCCTACATGGCAAGCAAACATGCTCACAAAGGGCACCAATGCCACCGGCAAGCAACCACTTGGAGGTCGTCGCAACGAACCCCTCTGGCGCGACCTCTCTAGACTACAGCCTGTGCTCATGCTGCCAAAAGGTCTGTGGAAATTGAACATGCGCACTTCTTCGTACCACCTTTGATATCTTTGGTCTACCATGGTCTACCTGATTCATCCAGATCCATGTTGCTGGTGTGTGGGTGTACCGTTGTTGGGGGTGGGAATGGAATTCTTAGGGAGAATGTGCCGTCGGTGTGGAACCACCCAACCTTCAACCTCAGCAGCGGCGTGTGCAATTCTGAGAACCGGACGCCCAAAGCCACATTGGCGTCCATGCCAATGGAGAAGTAATTCTGGAAGAAGCCTTCCTTTCTGGCGCAACTGGCAGGGAATGAGGGAACATCCCACGGATTCTCGATCAATTTATTGACAAAGCATTTTTGGCGCATTTCATGATCTCATGAGAGACAGTGTGACTCATGTGCGTGCTGCGTGTGATGTTCATTTCAGGTTGACCAGCCAAAATCCATTTTGCTGAGTTCATTCTCACCTCTTCCCACTCATTGAAGGACCGAATTCAGGCGCCGCGCGACGTGGGGGTGATGCCAAAAACGTAGGGGGTGATGGCAGGGACGGTTTTATACTCGGGATGTTGACATGATGTTTATAGAAAAGAAAACCCGCAAACCGAACCAGTCCACTCATCCCCTTCACTGCACATGTGTGGCGCTCCCCCGCCTCTGAGACCGACCGCGGCCACGCGGAGGTTTGACCCGCTTTCACCCCCCGGCCACACATGGCTCGCCACGCATCCGACGATCCCACCGGGGTCACCGACGAAGGTCCGGTCGCTGTTGAGCACGGGCGGAGGCTTCTGGCGGGCGGTGATATGGGTGCCAGGACGTGCATGTGGAACCCTGTATGTCTTGTGGAAAGCATCTGGTGGTTGGTCATAGTCTCAAATCCTCAAATGCTCCAGTGCCAAGTGGACTAAGGGTCTCAAAAAAAAGTGGATTGAACACATTTTAACCAGCGGGTCCCAGTTGTCAGACCAAAGTCTGCCAAAGAGTCCTGACTGCACTGGTTTACCACGCCGGTTTTGGCCGAAGGACCAGGTATCCACAAAACCATTCACGGCTATGACCATCGGACCATCGATGAGAATGATGGCCTTAAAGCCTTCGTCATGTCCAATTTAAACAACAAAGTGACAGAGCTCAGGGTGGTTTTTAGTTTAGTCCCATCCAGTGGCCGTGGATGTGACAGGGGCATCCGACTTCCTCCGTGGATAGCACCCCATCTTGCGACTGCTGGAGCAGGAAATTAAACAGCATGGATTCTCTGCACACGAACCACAACAAACTGGTCATGAACAAGGTGTGCTACATAGTGGCAGAGCGCCAAGGAGACTCAGTTTCCAACATGATCCAACAGTGTGAAGTGCTCACTTTGACCTCTGCCACCCCCCCTGTCTCAATCCAATGTTAAAAAATAATCCCGAGCACCTATTTAAAACGGACCCCTATTAAAAAAAAAATCATGTCGGAACCTCCTAAATACAGTTTATATTCGTTGTGAAATTACCACCCTTTCAAGCCGCTACCGCTACTAAACTACCAACATGGCCGATTTTGGAGGAGGTTTTTAAATTAGGTTCCAAAAACAACCGTAACTGCCAACCTCTGTCCACCCTGTCTATCCACCATGACACGCCGTGTTTACACCAGAAGGCTTTCCTTCCCCCAATGGCACGGACTCACGCAAACGCACTTTCCACCGAGGTCACGCAAAACCGCATGGCACAGCGACTTCACCTTTCGAAAGCTTTAGTTGTTAGTCTAATGAAGAATCACTATTCTAATGGAGGTTTTTGTAGGGGGAAAAGGAAGACGCTTCGATCTGGAGGTTTTTTGAATTTTTGATATGAGTTTAATAACGGATTATTTTATATAAAATTTTCCTGCGGGTGACTTTTTGGTTTTGAAACCCTTCCCAGGTGACCCTATATTTGGACCACCCCGATTTCCGGGACCCCCTATTAACAAAAATGCAACTATTAGGGGGGGGAGGCGTGTTTTTAAATAGGTGGACCGGATTATACCAGCATAGACCCCAAACGACGTCAACATTTTTTGGCGTCAGCGTCAACTCCGTAAATTCCAATGTTGGTGGAAACTCATGCGAGTATACTTTTCTCTAGCATCCAGCTGTGTGGTAACTGCATCTAAACAATGTCAATGTACGTTTGAAAACACCAGTTCCTGATGCCTGTTCAGAAGATCCGATGGTGATATCACATTTCAATCACTGTATCACTGTTGCATTCATAGCCACATGAAAACATACCTCAAACAAGGCGGTGGAGATAGGAAACACGGCGTGACCAAGCAGGGGACAAGGCCCGGATAAGGTGGTGATAAAGGGGCCCACAATGTGGACAAGCAGGACAGGCAGACCTGGACAAAGGACAAAGGGAGGACACGGGGTTTGCAACCGTGGCCACTAGGAGGACACTAGGAGGACTAGAGAAAGTCACAGGGTTCGCCAGCGCGGCCAAAGGACAGCAGCAGCAGGAGAACAACAGCGCAGCCAGAGGACAACAACAGGACAAGAGGAGGAGGAGGACGAGGAGGAGAGGAGGAGAGGAGGATGAATCAAAGAAACTTTATCAGCAGGTTGAAGCGCAAAAGGTCGTCCAGTATAGCCTCAGCGGCAAATCATTTCGGACATTGAGATTATGGCGCCATCGTAGGCTACAACCTTAAAGCGCCACGGGGAGCTTACGCAAACCTTATGCGCACTAAGCAAGACCCCTTATAGAGAACACATTATGTGTAAGTTACAGGTTGTGCGCTACAAAAGGCAGTAATGTCACGACAGTACCGGTGAAAGGCTGGTTCTAATTATTACACCGCCGCCTGCAAAAAGGTGATTCAATATGCGTTTCTCAGGGTAAGGAAACAGAGTAAGTACAACAAAGTAGCATTCCCGAGGTGGGCATGAACATGCGCCTACAAAGAAAGGTTCACCTGGCAAACTCTTTCAGCTCAGGTTCGACTCCTCAAACAAAGATATATATCTCAATACATCGGATTGGTTTCCCACTACTAGCCCATAGTAGCACAACAATTGAAAAATGGAAGCCAACACACACGCAAATACATATAGAAAAACTCTTCCGCATTTTGCTTACACTAGCGCAGCGCTACAGCCAGAAACTGCTCACGCAACCTTAGGATGGCTTTGCTGACGGATGGCTTTGCTGACGCACAGTGTCCTTACCTTACGACCATGTCCTTACTAATTTTGAACACCTAGTTTTCCATTCAGCACTCCATTGAGCACACCTTAAGAACCCATATTTTCATGACAATCGCATTGATAGCACACCCGGCACTTACCCCTTTTTGCATGTTGTTCCTCCATAGCCACTAGTACTCCCGCCACTCCAGTGCAGGATTCACCCCTTTTTTTTGTCCTTTACTGCAGAAACACGGCATGAGACAGCGTTGACGTTACTTATCATGTAACTGTAGAACCAGGACCGGAAAGCGGTGGAGCGTCCTCAATGTGAGTAGTGTCAGGGGTGTGCAAGGGATGAGGGCGATGTGTGTTTTGTAGTGTTGATTGAAAAGTATCGATCGGTTGTCATCACTTCTTCACACAACTCAGCGTCCCGTTGATATCATAGACCAATGCAAGTGTCTTTGTGGGTGCCAGACCATCTCCAAGCGCTAACCCTTTCACTGCAAATCACTGAGAAGTAGTCTTACTGACCTCATTCTCCAGTGTGCGTTTGTTTGTTTGTTTGTCTGCCTGTCTGCCTGCCTGCCTGCCTGTCTGTCTCTAAATATGAACATCGTGTGTACCTACTTGGTTTGTTCTCTTAAACACGGAGTGAGTTAGCCCACCCGCCCACCCACCACCCACCCCTTACCCATAAATAAATGCTGCCGCTCATGGCTGGTTTTGACATGTTTGCCTCCGCCTAAACACCTTATTATGGGCAAGTGCACATACATGTAGGTCCTTTCTACAGACGCAAGCACACCTGTTGTGAGACCAGAAGCTTCCCTTCTTCTTCAAGGCTTGAATGAGAGTGGCACGGTTGAAGCTCTCCTGGTCCAGGCCTTTGTCATTGGCAATGGAGGCCAGGAACTTCTCTACAAATTGGTTAGCGGCCTCGTTGTTGTTCTCGAGCTGCTTCAGCAGATGCCCGCGAGCCTCGGCCAGCCATCTCCCAAACTTGCCTGTGTTCCAAGGCCCCCTCAACATTCTGAACAACCGGTTGATCTTGCGCAAGAAGCCCGTCCCACCATCTGCTGTGTTTATGGCTTTCGATGTCTTCCGGGCGACTTTGTGAAACAAATCGGCCCAGAATACAATCCATACATTGCAACTTGCCAGATGCAAGAAGGCCAAGAAGCCCTGCCGATCAAGTGACAAACTATCCTTCATTCACTGGGGGGCGAATCAAGAGGCCAACTGACTGCAAAAACGGTTGCGCAAAGAGACAAAAAAATCATCTCAAAGCGGATATCAGAACCCAGCCTCTGTCCCCTCGTCAGCCGCCACACAAAGCCTCCAAAAGTTTGTGTCATCAAGGTAGAAGTCGTGCCAGGACTGGTGGGTCCTATGATCAAACACGTAGTAGAGATCCTGGTCCCCTGTAGATCTTTCGGTCCAGGCCAAGAGCATCTTCTCTCGGAGACTCATCTTGCGACGGCTGCATGCCACTGGGCAAGGAACAAGGGCATTCTCCGGGCAGCACGCTTGGAGTGACCAACCTTCTGGCATGACCTGTTGAATCGAGTTCGCCAACCCGACCAAAAGATGCTTTGTGCTTGTTCTGTACTCACGCCACTTCATGGCATCCAGTGTATTGCCGAGCTGGGCAACTGGCTTGGCGGGAATGCCACCTTTGAGAAACTCCTGCAAGGCAGCAAGCGCCTTCTGCGCAATCTCATGGGACACACCCAGGGGCAAGATCTGAGTCGGCCCAGCAAATTGTGTGCCATTGATGCGGAACACAACGGACAAAACCTGCCCGCGTTCAATTAGTGGGGCATTGGTTCAACCACCTATTCAAAGGTTTCATCCTTTCCACTTAAAGCATCTTAAAGCACGGATTGACCCTGCAAACCTATCAAAAGACTTGTTGCAAGCGCGTAGCGTGCTCAGAGGAAACCATCCTGCCGAGCTCCGCCTCCAGCTCTGTTGCAAAGGTGTCCCCCACATCACCTTCACCGAGCAAGCCCCTCATTGCCAAAATCATCGAAAGGATAGAAAAGGCATGTTCAGAAGTGACTGCTTCTCACTGTGAAGCTCGCCTTTTCATGAAGGGCTTGTAGTTCAGAGTCCAGAAGTACAAACTGCACAGCCAACCCTGCTGGAGCATGTTCTTCGCTGGACGAGGGCAGTGCTCAAGGCCACTCTTCATGTCCCGATTCAACCGGTGATAGGGATCCCAGTAAAAATGCATCACGCAACACTTTGAAGGTAGGCAGACATGCCCACCCACAGGGCCCTGGTCCTGACCCACAACCAGGACTGGAAGCCCCACAAGCTGAAGAAAATTTCTTGGCCTCATTGATGGCCTGCTCCGGATCGGGAATGACACCCAGGATTCACCAAATATTTCACCTGCCATGGAATCCACACGTCAAGGTGCGCCTGCCACGAAATCTGCACTTCAAGGTTCACAAAGTGCTGCACCTGCCACGAAATCTGCACTTCAAGGTCCACCAAGTACTGCGCCTGCCACGAAATCTGCGCATCAAGATTCACATCACACAGCCCGCCAAGGCGATTTGCAGCAAGAGCACTTTCAAAAACATCCAAAAACAACAAAATTGCAAAGCACAGCTTTCCCTGAAGATTTCCTCCGAGTTCTGAAAACGAGCCACTGTTTAAAGGTCCCTGGCGACGCCCCTCAAGTGGATCCGAAGGTGGACGCGGTGCCTCGTGAAACGCAGGCGGCCTCAGTGGAAAAACAACGGGGCGGCCGGCGGCCGGCAAACTGAAAGATTCTTGATGAGAAACAGCGGCATGATGCGGCATGGCTGGGGTTTTCAAGGAATCCGTCCCTGTCTTGGAGGGGATTTGGAAGGTCAACGCCAAGAAAGTACCAGCTAACACCGCGCCAGTGAGAAGAGGCTTTGGCTAAGACCGCCGTCCAAACTTCCCAGCGGCCCAAAGCAGATTGGCACCTTCTTAGAATTCTGAGTAATTCCCTGACCGAAAAATGCATCGAAAGGCCATTCTGATTGCTTCGATCAAATGCCGGCATTTCCGGAAGACCGGCCATCAAGGACTAAAAAGAGATCCCTCGAGACGACTATGAATCCCAATCCCAAATCCGTCCAAGTCCACCAGTGCATTGAGCAATCCCAGCGCAAGGATGTGACCACCCGAACCACCATCCTCCGCGGTCCGCGCGCGGAAAAAACGCCGCCTTCCAAAACCGCCGTCCGCCCGAGCGAACCGGGCTCTTTGAGTCCCAGAGGCGCTCGCACGGTCACACCCAACAAGTTCTTAAAGGTCATGGTCACCTGGCAGGGCTCGGACGACCATCGGTATCTCGTTGTCGGTCGGAATAACCCCAACTCGAAGCGATGACACGGTGGTCGTTGTGGTTGGCATGTGCCGTTGGTTGGCAGTGCTGGCAAGGACTCGTGACTCTAGGCATCGGGTTAGTTGGTTCAAGCATGGTTCAAAACCATTCTCGTTCTCACACTACTCTCTCCTTTTTAGGAGCTGAGCTCTTGCTAGGGAGCTCTCTCTATGCTCTCTGTCCCGGAGTTCCAAGCTTCAAATCTCTGGTTCGTGCGAGTGCCACTAAACACTATGGCTCAACTCAACTGATCGCGCTCTGACAGAGAAGTAGTTCACAGCCATATATTTCTGGACATCCCACCACCAGAAACAAACTTTTGACCAAACATGACCAAACCTTCTAGAATCTCACATTCTGTTCCCGCACGGGGACCATTTCCAAGTACGGTGTCATGCGCTGTATCTTTTTGGGAACCTTGCCTGGTAGATTCCAAGGCCAAGGTTGCAATGATGCCAATTCATGCCAATTCCTTGTCCCTCAGGCCCTTGTTCCTGTACCCCCTCCACACTCCCAAGTTTGAGGCTAACTCATGGGCGCTTGCCAAAGTTATCTGATCTTGCTTCTCCGCTTCAGTTCTGTGCATCAGCTTGGTGTCATTGGGGGGTCTAGATATAGTTCATTCATGCCGAGTCAAATGATTCAACCAATCAAACTAATCATGATTCAACGCCCCCCCGATCCAGTTTTGGTGGTTTCGGCCATCCCCGGCCCCAGCACCACTCGCATCCACTCGCATCCACTCCCATCACCTGCCTTCCACTGGTCGAGCGGTACGATGTCTGCAGCCAGCGTCCACCTGTGAACGATGTCCGTGGCCGATGTCCACAGTCTGTGAAACGAGACTCTTCAGCTACAGTAGCTGATAGTAGATGGAATGAGTGGGCATTTCTTTAGTCGTCCGGGAAAATCATCTCCTTAAGGCTCCAAGAACCTTCTGAGAAAGTGTTTAGGGTGGGTCTGGAGGGTCCATATACCTTCTGAGGAGGTACTTGGAGCCTGAGGGTATATAAACCATCTCTTATGATCTCTTATGGGGGGTTGTGCCATGGACTCTGAAACAATTAATTATAATATGCATACTGCATGTGTGCTTTTTTGTTGGTTGCGCTGTCATAAAGAATGCCTTCGAGCATGTTTTAATCATGCTTGAAGCCACAGTTGAAACCTCGATTTTCTTGCTTTTGTCTATGTCTGAGTCTCTAGTCACTCTAGTCACCCTGATGGATACTCAAACTATATCTCCAAATCGCTCACTGGTGACTTCAGGTCGGTATCCATGCTCCCACCGTAAACCCGCTGGTCATGCTTCAATGGAAACGTGTCGAATGAACTCTCACAGGCTACTCATCTCGTTGAGATTGAGAAGCTGCCAATCTCGCGTACCACGACAACTGTCCAGTACGCGCGTTGACAGTCATGAACTCCGAACCGCGATCAGCAATTGCATCGACGAACGTGGACCGAACGTGGACGGTGCAGACGGACCTGACGATGTCATTTCTCTTCTCGTCCGGTTTGGCCCGTGGGGTTTGCGTAAATCTCGAGTGGTTTTTGCTGTTTTCTTGCTATTTACTTTGTTGCAAAACCATTAATTAGACTATAGAGTTAAGCCATATAGTTTACATAATCGTAAATCAAAAGTCTGCCAAGTGCTCCCGGATGTGCCGGCCTGACATCATCTCAACCTCTCCAACACCGGACACCACCGAATCGCCCACCGACCGCCGGCGCCACGCTCTGAGCGGTTCGGGCTGCACGTAGCCCACCAGCTCGCGGACGCTCCGCAGCTTGGCGCCCCAGCCTGGTTTCCGATCGAACGCCCCAGCTGCGATGGAATGGACGTGCGAATGGACGCCGATCATCCGGTGGATCATCTGGTGGACGAGAAGTGTAGCAAGTGCGAAGGACATGTTTCGCTGTTTCGCCGCGCGCAGAACAGTGCTGAAATTCACCGTCCTTTTTTGACCATCCATTTGGGTCGAGCTGCCATATATAGTTAAAACATAGTGTATCTGGATCCTCCAAGAACCACAGTTACTGGGTGCATGGTTGGTGAGACAAAGTGACGACAAGTGCCCAGAAACCACCTGTTGTCCCAAAACCAGCTGGACTTGAGGATCCTAAATGATCTGACAGCTCAGATCAAAGAACAAGTCAAGGGAAGCGTCCCTGTCCACCAATTCTGCTATATAGTTTTCTTATTCGTTGTGTCTACCTAGTGTCCCTACATCCACTTGGTTTGATCTGTTTCGATGATGCCGCTCATAGAATGTTCACCTGGCCATCGCCCATTGAGCTGCGTCTTCGCATCTTCACTTCAATGCTCGATGGCTACCACTATGGCTACCACTATGACTACCCCCTTTCCATCAGACCTGTTTTACCTCCTACTGCCAGGTGGATCAGCCGCCCCTCGGACTGCCCGCCGCCCTATACGCCTAGTGATCTGGCCAGGTCGTTGCCCGTGCCCGCCGGAACGACGCCGATCGCCGGCTCCTCCGTGGGAAGTCGCCGGAACGGCGGGAAGCGCGAGGACAGAGATGTTCAGATGTTCCATGCACTCCATGGGACTGCCATAGGACTGCCGAGAAACGGCCAGGGGTCAATGGGGCGGCAGTCCTATGGCAGTCCCATGGAGTGTCTGGGAGAGATGTTTCATGGATTTGCTGAGAGATTGGGCTGACGAACTATGCGCACGCTGACGAGATTGGGTCGGCATGAAATACTAGCCACACACCAGGAGTCGGTTGAAGATCCCTAGTTCGACAAACCTATGTGCCCCAGTAGTCACTAGAGTCCTATTTACGGTCACTTATAACCTCTGTTGGGATTGGGCTGACGAAATAAGACATGGGTGATCGTCTCTAGGAAATCTGTGCCAACCCTAAATTTCAAGGCGGTGTCAAAGACAGTAGTGTCTTTTTCCTTGGGGGTTATCCATCAACCACTTCTGGGGAGTCCTGATCTGAACAAAACTTTCGACTCGCACCGATTTCGGGGGACGCGCGATGTTTGAAGTTAGCTGTGGGTGGTCTGACGCGTGCAATTGACGGGGGGATGCCTACCCAGCTTGGGGTCTCTTGACGACCCGTGATTCACCCAACCCCGCGACACTCCGGGAAGTCTCATGAAACATGGCAAAACCCAAGGTCGTCCAAGGTGTGGCTTGACCCGTAGCTTTGCCTACATTGACCCCTTTTCAGCTACCCCAATACACCTCAATTGTAGGGCAATGTATAAATTAAATATGCCAGCCAGTCCCAAACAGGTCGTGTCTGGGACATATGTCCGAACCCAGGCATTTTGGACTTCTATAGACCCCCATGCTAGATAGAGAATTGGATTCCGACCAATGCATGTATACTGGACGCCGTGCCGTACCACTCTAGAACCACTGGCCCCGATTGAATCGCCACTTGCTTGCTTGCCCCGAGATCTGGCGGTACCGCTTGGAGTCCGGGTCCGCGTCGTGTCGTGGTCAGGCGGTGCGGTGCCTCTTGGAAGTTGGCGAAGAGGTGCGGATGCTCTTCTTTCAACTCCTAGCGGAGTGACTGCGGATCGTCAAGGAACCGCCACTCTGATTCTCAACATGGAAGTGGTGATGGAACATGGGCCGAACGCGACTGACCTCTACAAACAAGGTCTTTTCCACTTCCGTGTGAGCCAGTCCAAGTGTAACATAGTGTAACCCCTTGTTCCCTAAAAAGTTAAAGGATGTTAAAGGTTTTCCATGGCTTTCCACTGACAGGGTAGGCTCTGGTGGGGCGCGCGCGCCCAGATCACAGAGTGGTGATTTTTCATCTGTTCCTCGAAACGCCTGCAAAGGTCAATCTGCACCCTTTTTCCTGCCTCTTCCTCATTCAATATTGTTCAACCAACCATTGAAATCCCTTTGCACGAAGTTCTGACGAAAGCTGTACCAAACACCCTCTGCCATGTCCTCCCATCCTTCATTAGATTCATGCTCGCAGTAGCTGAAACGTTCTCCCGGATATCCCGGCAAGAGACCCCAAACAGTGTGTCCAACGGTCTAAGGTCTAGAGGTGTAGAAGCAAAAGGTCTCCAGATCTAGATGGCTCCAAAGAAAGGTAACGGTGGTGATCGTGGTGATGATGGTGGTAGTGGTGGTGGTGGTGGCAATGACGGTGGTGATGGTTGTGGTTGGTGGTAATGCTGGTGGTGATGATGGTGCTGGTGCTGGTGCTGAATCAACATTTTGTTTGGCTAGAACCTTCGGTTGTCCAGAGCCACCAGGCTCCATGGAACAAGAGCAGCGTGCCATGCATCGCAGGCACCATTGTTTGTAATTATAGGTATGATTGAAGTGTCGAAACCATTTCGCTTTCCCTCAGGGCGAGATGTAATGTCAGGGTTCCCCGCATGCCTACTTTGGCAATCACTTTGACCGCCACACCACTTTTGCCATCTGGGGTCTAGCGGAAAAAACCGCCACGCCAAGCCGCGATCCGCAGCTCTGCTAACTGTGTCCCCACGGAAACTCGTAGTCGTAGCCTTCTTCACAAGCAAGGGCCGATCACAAGAGTTTATCAGAACTACCCCCGCCCAAAGTACTCCACTCCCGTATACACCTCCAAGTAGCTCAGAAGGTATGACTAGACCCCTCCTGGCACCCACCCCAGTCCCACCCAACCTCAGGTTCGGTACGACTGGAGGCCAGGGCTAGGGCTACCGCCGAACGTCGCAGAGTGGCCTCGATTTCGTGGAGCACCCAGGTCACGGTGCCGTCGCCTCCGCACACCAGGAAGCGCCTGAGGGGTGGCGGCCGGGCGAAAGCAAGTGCGACCACGGTGGGCTGGGGGAAAACAGCATTACGCGATAAACCCCAGATCCAGGGGCGGCTCAAGTGGATGAGAACCTCCCAAAAAAGGGGGCATATGAGGTGGCAGGTGGTGTGGAAACACTTGGATCTATTTTACATGCAAATCAGGATTAATATCAGCTAAAGGTCTTGGAGATGCATTGTCTTCATTCCTGATAGCTCCATGTGGGGCCCTTTCGCGAAGACTGGACTAGCTTGGGCTCCCAGTTGGCTGGACTGCGCAGAATTGGACGAAAGCGGCACCAAGCTTGCCTCCCGTCGAGCAGTGAATAGCTAATATAACCTGTCGACGTAAGCACTCTTACCCTACAACGGGCCAGTTGAACCTCATTTTACTCGAGTTGATCATAGAACAACATAAAAACACTGCTCCATGAGGTAGAGGATATTGGGAAGAGATGCTACCCAGCTCAAGCACCTCTCTGAATCTGGATCCCCCGCTTCACCTCTTTCCTCCGGAAAACTCCCTCCGCTCGCGTGGCAGGCGGGCAGCCCAGTGTTTTGTTTTTTTCCGTTGGGCATGTCCGGGGTTCCCCGACAACTGCGAAATCTGCGGCTGCATCATGGTCTTTCGAATCTCCTCTCTCAAGTCGATCCTGCCGGAGTTCGATGGAGGGAGGAGTTTCGCCGTGGTAGCGGGGCGGTGGTGGTCGGGGGGGGGAGTAGTTCGGAGCTAAGGTCACAGTGGAGCTGGAGGATGGAATTGAAAAAGGGGGTGAAAACCAAGGGGTCTGTGATGAGGGGCGAGGTGAGTAAGTGGGTGCACCAAAATTTGGAGAAGTTGTTACCCCGTATCGTTTGCTTTGATGTTCAAGATTAGGAGAGGCAAAAGAAGCTCGAGCCGGAATCGCCGGAATGTCCAACAATTGGGTTGTGGGAAAAGGTAGGTTGGGGTGGGTGGACAAGTGACAAGTATTTAGGAAGGGAATGGGATTGTCAACATTGAAAAGACTTTGTCCACCTGTTCTAGAATAGTGGGTGCCCCCCACTCTCCCTCCAAAAACTTGTTCTCCCCTTTTCCTGGGTAGGGTCTACACCAGGAGGGAGCTGCAAAGGGACAAATGCCACGCCCGGCGCCCGGGTCGAGCAAGCGCTCAAGTCGTCCTGCCAGCGAGCTCGCAAACGTGGCCCGCCAGGTAGTCTTCCTGACCAGCGTGCACGAGCAATGAAGGCTCAGTGTGTGTGTGTGTCCACCCCTGTTCCTAAGGGTTTTGGTTTCTTGCATTCGGCTAAGTAACCACACGTCCACGTCTTGCAGCTAAGTATTCACAGGCCGGGCATTTACATGCATAGGCACACACACAACCCCCCTACCCCTGGGCCTCGTTGCTACCCCACCCGCTTTTCGGGCAACAGAAGGAAATCGCACTCAACACACTTGTGTGTTGGTGCCTTTCCTTCTGTTTCTCCTAGCTATTGCTAGCTACCCGGGCGGTTTAAGACAAAATGTCCCGCTCGCGCTCTACTTTCATTTAACTAAGTGGGCCTCGTAACTACACCTATCTTTCCTTCTTGCCCTCTTAGTCTGCTTTTGTTTTGTTTGCTTTGTCTGTCTTTCTAAGGCTTTTTAGGTCGCTAGTAGTCTTCACAAAACGCGCCAATATTGGCGCTATATGTACAAAGTTTTGCGACCGGTGGACACCAACGACGCTACTGGGGCTTCTGGCCTCGCTATCAGGAGCCAGGACCTCTGACCTTTCTACAAGGACGCTACTAGGGCCCCTGGCTTTGCTACTAAGGCCTCCAGGTATCGCTAACTTACAGTCTCTCAACGCAGAAAAAGAGGCAGGGGCAATCGGAGCCTGTGCAAGAGGCTACTGTCCATGACCTTGGCTGTGATGCGGTCAATGACATCTGTGTGGGAGATGTTGCAATCTCGCCAACCTTGCTCCAACTTAGCAGTGTTTTGTCTGAATCGGTTTGTTGTCTGCTTGCAGTGGACTGGTGCCTGGTCCTTCTCAAGAAGACTTCTGTTGCAGGATGCACGATGTGGAGTAATCCCGCGCTCTT